GCAGTGCAGCATTTGCATTGCATGGTAATATGATATCAAGATTGTGTCCAAGCAATTTGGGAATTATCGTATCAAATAATTAAGGGTTACACGACTCCATAATATGTATTGTTTTATTTTATCAAATAAGTCACTGTGCTATTTTTAACATCACAAATACTACATATTCAAAATGATCTATCCGGATGATCTATTAACGATCTCGTGTTGCCAATGTTTAAGAAACCCTACCATACAGGCTGACCTGTCCAAAAGCATCAAATACCAAAACCAAATAGGTAGACAATTTTGATATGAATAATATAGAACTTATATGATTTTGACATGAATGACATAAACTTTGTATGAACTTATATGATATTGAAATGATCTGTTATTAACTCATATGAATTGATATGAAAAATAATATGAACTGATATGATCTTGATATGGATGGTATAAAGCTGATACGATCTTGATATGAATGACATGAATTTGATATGAATTAATATGATCTTGATATGATGAAATAGAACTTATATGAAATTATATGAAATGATATAATATTGATATGGACTAATATGATATGAATGACATAGAATTGATACCATCTTTATATGAATAACACGAACTTGATATAATATGATATTTTTACGCAATGTTTTTGAAATCCAACATAAACAAATGCGATATGGTCCGTTGAGTTTTCGTTGAAGATTTGAAAAAGACCTTAATAGCAACCTCGAAATTCTACACGAGTAAGCACAAAATTCGGGCAGCAAAATCCGGTCAACTTTTCTTTGTCTTCTAGTTTCCCTCTTTGCTCTTTATGATATAGACCATTGGATCAAACAGGTTTCCAATAAAAAAAATATATAGACCATTGGATCTTCCCTTTTCAAATTAGAACCATTGAATTTAATTTTGCAGTATTACAAAACGATTGGATTTTGTACAATAGGCCAAGCCAATATATACGTGGAGAATTAAAAAGTCCAACGATCTAGAAAGTCTATTTCCTTTTAAAATTTTCAAGGTCTATTTCTGTTATTATTATTGAGTTCAACGCGTACACTTTTATATTGCATTGCACGTAAGAAATGCGGGAGATAATCAAACAAATACGAATTAGCAATATGGATTATTGTATTTAGATAATATAGTTTTGTACTCATCCCGAAATAATACATAGAAAAATATATATAATCGTTTGTCGCATTGATAAAAACACGTGTGGTTTAATGGTTTGCTTGATTGTTCAGCAAGAAACTGAACCCAAAAACACGTCAAAAAGTCAAACTAACCCCCCGTGACCTATAAAAAATAAGTCAACTAGATCCTAACGTGAAACTGAAAAGTGAATCCCAAAAGCTAAATGATATCTAAAGAAGTTAGAATCGAGGAGAACAAAATTTTAAGACGGAATTAAAAGTGTTTGTGGAATATATTGTATGGATGATTATTCGATCATAAAAATATTTTATTGGTAGAGAGTTTTTGACTGCATGAATTAATTGAGTCATGATCTATTATTAGTTTTTCTGGTACAAATTCAAATACGATTTCATAATTCTTACGAATTAAGCCCAAAAGATCAAGCTAAGGACAATGGAAGATAATAAATTGAAGCACATTCCAAATTAAAATGTTGAGGGAAATAATCACCCTTAATCTCTCTGAAAACGCATCACACAAATAGTTTGTGGTGCTTTGTAGAAAGAATTAAAAGGGTCCCTTCTTCTATATTGGCTGACTTGCAGTAGAATTAGAAATGGGGATACATAGCCCTCCTTAGCAACCAGCGTTGTAATTTCTTAACTTACGGCTTCATGCATCTTTAAAAATAGCATTATTTTCTTGCTACTAGATTCTTGTCGTTTAAAACGGCAAAAACAAGTGCATGAAAACTTAGAATTAAACTAAGGCCGGCCAACATGTTATAAAAAGATAATATTAAGACAAAATCATGGTGTATAAATTACAACGGGCTCTCACAGCCACCTCTAAAAAATACAATAAAAAGACACAAATTAGCACCTGATAAATTAAAGGATGTAGACTTGAGGGATAATACATGACAATTTCGACATGATTCGTGTTATCGGCCGGTTTGATATGTTTTGGGATGGGGTGGGCGTTCATGGCTATTCTTCTCAGCCTGATCCACCCTATCCTCGATCTATTTTTTTTATAAATTACATGTAATTTTACTTAAATTACTAAGAATTTGTACTTTTTTACATCATATTTTAACTATATTAAAATTATAAATAAGTGAGAAACACATTTTTTTGAATAATTAGTTTGTTTCTTGGGTTTTAAATGAAAAAAAAAATATTTCTAATATGTTTTCCTTAAATCACATACTCATATGGATCGACCTGCCCGACTTGCACCCAATAATAAATTACCTGACATGAATCTGATCCACAGGACGCATATGAATATCAAACTACCTATTTCAACTTGTCCATTGTCATTCCTAATTAGCGTGGGTTGTATTGATAATTAGATTAAATATAATCAAATGATCATTGTCCATTGTTATTCCTAATTAGCGTGGGTAGTATTGATAATTAGATTAAATATAATAGAATGATCATAGCCAAAGCCCCATTGGCTAGAAAGGTCCTGCATAGTCCGTAGTTTCTCTTTCTCCAACGCAAACGCACGCATTCCATTACCAAAAGTCAAATATCACTCGCAATAAAAAAGTCAAATATATTAGGAGAAACGCCATGAAGAAAGCTGTTCCAAATGTATCTTAAAATAGTACATAGATAACAACTAACAACTATTTAAATTTTTAGTTTTTAGCTGAAATTTCAGTAAGACAACATTGGCCCTGTACATTGTCTTTGGGAAAAAATAAAAATATTTCTGTTAGAATATGACTTGAATTTGATTTAAATTTATTTTGTGTTTTGGATCTATTTTGTTTGAGTTTGTGTTTGAGCTTTGTTTTGGGCTTTTCCTTGTAGGTTTGGAAAAGGTGTTTGGTTTTCTGTTTGGGATTAGGAGAAGAGTTCTATAAATACTCTTCATCACCCTAGTCTGTAGTAAGGTCAGTCAGGTTAGTTAATTTGGGTTGTATGTTCCGGAATTTGGTTTGTAACCTGTATTCTCCTCAAAATCAGTGAAATTTGTTCTCCCCTGCCCGTGGATTAGCTAGCACACATTGTGTTAGTGAAACACCTTAAATTCGTGTTCGTTTGTGTTCATCTGAGTTATCGATTGCACGCTTCTGTTCTGACAATTTCTCGACTATTGTTCCACTGCTTCTCCTACTATTGCGAAGATCGAAGCAGAGCTTTCGAGAGGTGGAGATGGCTTATGGATCGAATGGTACGATTCTAGAAGAATTGGGTTGGCTGTATATATTTTTTCTATTTTTTCTTGTACTTTTAGTAAGTACAACATGTTTGCTCTAGTTACTCAAAAAGCTCTTTCATCCACAATTGGACTATTTGTCGATTATCGTATTTAACTGTGTGGTGTTTAGTGCCTATATATATGAACTCTATATGGCTTGAGATGTCGCGAATTTGTAAATCTACATAGCATGCCGCAACAAGAATCTATTAAAACTAATATTATAAAATGTCCCAGATCTATTGGTTAATGACTAAGCAACAAGACCCCATTCCATCCATTAGCGATGAAGTAAAGCCAAATAAGTAAATAACAATCGGGCACCGGTATGTATCTATCCGCGTCAATTTCTTGTCCACGACTAATTATAATAATTGCTAGTTCAAATACAAATGTCTAATTAGACGACCACTAATTTGTTTCTCTCTTTTGGGATTAAGTTTCTAACAAACCCAATGTCTAGATTAGTTAAATTTCTTCTGTTCCTTCTTAAGTCTACTTCTTGATTCTCCATAGACAACCCGAGCAAACATGTATTCAGCAATGAGATAAGTTTCACAATCACTGACTGGCATATTGCATTAAGAATTAATACTGGGAAAACCCTGCTTTAATTAAGGTCATAATTTTTCCAATGCACGTAAAGGTACACCTCCAGTTAATAATAGGATAATACCATTAGTCCACCAACCACCAAATCAGAAATCAGATAAAAACAAGATATAAATTTTAACCCTCACACACGCATAATCTTTACCCTTAACAAAATTCCCCATATAAGATTATTATTATACCCATTGTAGTGAAAATCACGCATTGAAATGTAAAAATTTACGTTTTTACGTATTAAGGTCACCAAAATGTTTCAGTTTCTACCTAAAGTCGCTTAGTCACTAAAATTGGTAAAAACATAGGTAAATCGGTAAAATCGTTATTCTGAAGCGTTTTTATACGATTTTGATCCTCTCATAAAAATGTGCTAATTGGCCCAAAATGATGTAATTTTGGAGACATATCAGCAAAAAATAAAAAAAGGAAAACATGATTCATCAATCGTTCTACAACTAGTGTCGAGATAGGGGCTTCACATTAGGTTGAAAAGACACCTAATGGTATTCTCAACAGTCGCTGACCTTCTATCAGTCTTCTTCCTTAATCTTCACATGTGGCTCTTACGTGGGTTACGATAAAATTTTATGGGTAATTGATCGTATGTAATTATGTAAACTCAACCCAGCTTATGAGAATTCGGATTCTCAAGCTCGTTTACGGGTTACGATCCACATTTATGAGCTTATTATTAAGATGTTATGAGTTTTCTCTACCTTTGAGTCAACACAAATTAGTTTATGTGTTAGATATTACATTTTAATTATGAATTTCATGTAATTATTCACTTATCTAAAATTTACACACTCACATTTTACATACTATATGTTGTACTTAACATATTTTAGCTTTTTTAGAGAATGCGTCAAAAACTTATGCTTTTACGCTTTGATTCTACATTTTACGATTTATCCATTCTCCGCTTCTAGATAAAATCGCGCTTTTAACTGATTATACCCACTATTTAACTTCGCTTTTAAGGCCAATCTAACTCCTAATTAATAACATATATACCTCTCTTTTACCGCCGTAATATACTTTTCTTCCCCTAACAACGCTCCTCCCTCCAAGCGTCTAGATCACAGTTCACCTGCCACCCGCTAACATGACCGAACTAATTAGTAATTACTTGCTCACCAAAACACAAAAGAGTTTATCACAGAAATGGCCATCTCACTTTGAGGTCGCTAGCATATTAGCACCTAAACTTTGCCTTTTCAACCAACTTTGATGTCAGTCACTAGAGTTTAGTATAACTACAAAATAGTCATAATATGTTTATTCTCCGTTGTGTTAACCGTTCAAATTGACCAGATTAGCATGTCAGCTCAAGTGCTCAACCAGACCAATGAATCAAAACAATTACATCGACCTTATTTAGATGAAGTAGATGACCTGAGTCTAACTCGTGCTCGATTCGTATCAAACCTTTTACACTACCCAATTCCTAGCCACACAACAGCTGAAACCAGTCCAATAATCCCCCTTCCTCACCCTACCTGACAACTAATCAGAGAGTGGAAAAGAAAGGCCTATCTTAACTCAAATCAGCACGTTCCAAATTCATTACCTGTCGCGTGATTCGCATTGCGCATCGCCTGATACCACTCCAACCAGATAAGCTCATCACAGAAGCAACTAGTATATCATCATTCTAAAATTCATTGAGAACCTGGATAAGGAATAAAAAAAAGTGAAATACGTCAGCAACTCAAAGTTCAGTGACTATTTCTGCAATTGTCCCAAGTTCATTTTGTTTCTTCCTTGCTCATCACTGTAGTCATATTGTCAATTATTATGATTTGGCCCCGATCAGGAACCCTCCTCGTCATTCCCATTTCCCCCATGTGGGATTACATAAATAAATTCGTGGCAAGCAAACAAGACAAGAAATGAGAGATGAAGGGACTGACCAACTATTAAAAGTCGGCGGCTCCAGTCTTGTGACCTTCACGGTCAATTATCTCCTACCGCCCTTTCCTCTCCTTTTCCCTTCCCCTTTTCCGTCCATATTTATTCCTCCACAAATCCTCCCATTTCCCAGATTGCAGAGTTGGCAATATTTTGCAATCATTCCATTCCCCCAAACCCGAAAAACCTCTCTCTCCATCTTCCTAGTTTCCTTCCACACTACAACCGAGAAACATTTCACAAAGTATAAACTCGAGAATGGAGGTGATCATACCTTCATCACCAGGCGGAGGGATGGGATTCGACTTCAACGACGCCAGGCCACTGCCTTTCCTGAGCGCGCCGGCTTCCCCGCGGCGGTTCGGCGACCTCACCCTCAGCGCTCCGACCAGCCCGGGGCGGGTGGCGGAGTTCTACCGCAGCTTCGAGAACTTCTCCCTCATGGGCGAGTACGTGGAGCAGAGCGACGACGGCGGCGTCCCCTTCCACTGGGAAGAGAAACCAGGGACGCCCAAATCGCCCAAGAAGCTGCCTTCCTTCAACGACCAAGATTTCGCTTTCGATTTCAGCGCCGATTCGGAGATGTCGTCTCTCACCGCCGACGAGCTGTTTGATGACGGCAAGATCCGGCCTTTGAAGCTCCCGCCGAGGATGCAGGTGGAAGAGATCAAAAGCCCCCTGGTTCATTCCCCCAGGTCTCCCAGGTCGCCTATCGAGCAGGGGAAGAGGATCATAAAGGGCGCATTCTCCCCCAGAAAGAAGAAAGATCAAGCTGCTCCAATGGAGTTTGTTAATTCGAGTAATGAAAGGGGAAGAGGGAGGAATCTGACCTCGAGTTCAAGCAGGAGAGGGGCCGCGAGATCTTTGTCCCCGTACAGAGTTTCGCAGTATCCATGGGAAGAAGAGGAGAGACAGTTTCAACAACAGCCACAGCCAGAGACAGAGCACAATCTACAGCCTGTTTCTTCTGCTGCTCCTGCTGCTGCTCCGAGTACCACCGGAAAGAGTTCGTCGAGGAAGTGGAGACTGCGGGATCTGCTGTTGTTCAGAAGCGCGTCGGAAGGGCGAGCTGCGGACAGGGATCCTTACAGAAAGCACGCGGCTTTCGGGGGTTTGTTCAGGAGGCACGACGATGTGAAGAGCTGCAGCATCCGGTCGTCGGACAGCAACGGCTCGAATTCCGGGTCGATGAGGAGGAAAGGACCCATTTCGGCTCACGAGCTGCATTACACCAAGAACAAAGCAGCATCGGAGGACATGAAGAAGAGGACTTATTTGCCTTACAAACAGGGGATTCTCGGGATGAGATTAGCCTTCAGTCCTTCCCCTGCTCGATAAAACAAGGAGACGATACTACAAAATACATATATACACAATCGTTGATTCATCAAAGTGAAGAGCTTTCTTTTGTTCTTTTGTTTGATCTTCTTCCCCAGTTGTCTATATACGCTCTTCTTCCTGTTCTGTGAAGAGCAAAGCACAGAGGAAAAGAAAACAGATAGCAGCAGCCTAGTCTATGGTGTTCTTGAGCAACCATATCACTGGCATTTCCACAGTTCATACACAGCACAAATAGCTATATCAATTGCATTTTCCCCCTTTCTATTTTTGTTTCCAATCATCTTGTAGTACTGTAGAAGGATAGTAAATATTCCTATATCCCAGCAGTTACAGCAGATCATCAGGTTAATTCATTAGTATAATAAATTGTTTTTGCTGCAGTAAAAATTTTTACTGGTTTAATTCATATCCATGTGGGAACGCAGTATGAGCAGCACGCCATGAAAATTCAAAGGAGAGAATGAGAAAGTTACAAGAAGCTGTCATAGCTGAATTGAAATTGTGGGTACCAGCCAAAACCCCATGCATATCCTACCAACCCAATAAACAACTTTCAAGTCTGTTTTGATTTTTAGTTAAACTCTTCCTGTGTTCTAATTGCAATCGTTAGCAGAGGTATAATGGTCTAACAACTTGATTATAAAAACAAATCAACATAGCAAATCTTTAAAAAAAAATGCACAAGCACGCTAGAATCAAGTGGCCGATTAATCACGTAATTAAAGAAACGCCAAATGAAGTAAAATTTAATTATAGAAGAGAAGACGACTGAACTTTGAATATAACACAGGAAATTGGTTGCGCTGTATGCATTTGTATTATGCTCTGCGAACAAATCAAACAACAAACAGGAAAAGTCAAAGTAAGTTGCAACAAGATTCTTGTCTTATTTGTTATTTGGATTTTTGGCACTTCCATGTAGAGTAATCCCCCCCACATGCAGATCAACCCTATCTATCAAACAACCAGAAAAAATTGTTTAAGAACAAAATTCCAAATTTAATTCGTCAGCTAAAGAGGGAAGGAAACAGGCTGTCTAAAACAAAGACTTGTCCAACGTCTAGAAGTGAGACTTCCCAGAACGGAAAACTAACTCTGAGATCTGGTAACGCCACGATTGACGCTTACTGCCAACCATGAAATTTAAGGAAACAACAACCGTGCAGTTGCCTAAGAAGTCAACAACTTTCTGGTAGCCAGCATTAGTTAATCTAATCAGGACATCTTATTTGGGTATGAACAGCTCTTCAGGATACAAACTAATGCTTCAGCAAGGACTGATTGCACAGAATTGTAGGGAAGCAAACTCCTGCAAACATAAGAGTTATGCTTCCTGCAAACAAGGATAGGGTTTATGATAAAGAGGACCTCTTATTGTAGGGAAGCAAACTCCTGATCACTGAAGGAAACTCTATCCAAAAGAAAAGACTACTCTCGAGCTCCTGAAAGCTTCGATTGGCACTAGCCATGGTGGCGTATGTTAAGATTATAGCTTTTCAAACACTCGGCATGGAGCTCCAAGTCTAGATCACAAACTTCCTGAATTACAAGCAAAATGACTTGTCAGTTGGCTGAGTGGCTTTTGATATTGAATCATGTATAAGCTAAGGGCATCATTTCTCAAACCAATATGATTTCGTTTCGACAAGGCAAAGCTCCATATAACTTAGTTTTCAGTCAAAATTCTCAATCTTGATTGGAGGGACCTCATCTGCGACATTGAAGTGTCCAACCAAACGTGCAAAGAATGCCATTTGCTCTTCCAGAGTGAACTTAAATATTCTCCGACTGCATGCAACCCCGATATATATTAATTCCAGTGTCTTACGAGCTAAGATAACTCTTCTGACTAGAAGAAACACAAAACTAGATCTTCATACCATGCGGAAGCCATGCTGTTCCCCTTCATTCTCCACAAGGGCAACAGGTAAACCCTTTTTCTTCAACGCCTCATAGATTTTGTGAGCTTGGTCAGGGGGGCACTATCTGCATTAGATACTTCGTATCAGATGGAGCATATTCCAAGGGCTCAAGCCTAATACACACGAACAATCTCATATCTCTAGGATACATGTGTGTTTTCCATAAATAAATTTGGAGAAGAATCCCTCCAGACAAACAGGGATAAGCAGCTCGTAAGAAAAGCTCTGGTTGGGTTAGCGTGTCGAACAGGACTTGGTCCTTCTAGTCTTTTAGTGTGCCTCAAATGTGAAATCCTTCAGCAATTTGCAGTTTCCAAACGGTCTCAAGTTGGGAAGTAGGCTTCGATCTCTAATCCCCAATTCTCAATCCAATCCTTAACTCTCTCTCTCAATTCCTAAATTCTCATTATCCAGTCCAATTCCCAATCTCACAACCCAACCTGAGACGCTCTAGGTCCACGGTTTCTAGCAAAATGTTCACTTGGGGACAAGATATCAGACATCTAACCAATCTGCATTATGCATGATCATAAGAACAGAAACATTGATGACTAATTATAACTCAAAGTTCCCCATACACTACATGAACAAATTCTGCTTACCCATTTTCAGAGATGTGTCCAGCCCAAAGTTTTGATCTGTCCCTTGGCATGTTTGGGTGACTCCACTCAATCCATGCTAGTTCACCTAATGACTACTGTTTGCTCTGAGAAGAAAATTACCCAAAGTGAAAATAATGTAATTTCCTTAACAGCATAAGATAAATTCACACAGACACAAACATGTATGATTTGGATTGCACTGTGCTAATATGCTGAAAATCTACTGCAGTGACAGAAGTTGATTGTACATGCCTTGCACATCTTTTCCGTTAAGATCCAAAAGCTACAGTCTTCTTAGATGCATTTGTGGAACTCTCACGCAGATCTACCTTCCCTCACTGAAAAAATCCAAACAGATAATCAAAGACTCCATCAGCAGCCAACTTTACAGGACCACCGTAGACAGGTGTAATGGCCACGGGAGTAGAATCTGTAGTGCAACACCTACTCACACAAACATAATTGCCCAACCAGCCATCAGAGAACAAACAATATAAGCAAAGGCTAGCTCCAACATGGTGAAGAACCTTGGCCAATGATGGACTGCTTGTAAAGCCTTTGATCCTTGTAGTTGGAGGAAATGACAGTGTCCCCGGAGACCGCAAACACGCCGCCTCCATACTCCAGGCAAGTCGTTCTGACCCCGAATTCGTTCGGAGTGAGGTCAATAGGTTAGTCTCCGGCCTTTTTCAGCTTGTCCAACGAGAACAGCTCGTCTACGCAGATAATACCACACAATAACAAAACTCTCATTTATATTTGTCTAGGCAATTTATCAAACAGGTTATCTACACAACACGCAATTACTCACCCTCCTCCATTTGGACGGGACTCGAGCACGATCAAGCGTCCCTGGCCGTCGGCGGCAGGCGCTTGGAAGCTCCGGATACGACATCTGCCGTGATAGGGGGACTTCCAGGAGCTACAAGAGCCGTGGGTCTCTCTTGTCCAGGGACCGAACTAACCATTGTTGCGAAGTGATGCTGATGGCGATGATGCCGCTATAAATCTGAAGCGGAACCAGTTGAAGCTGAAGCAGTGGAGTGGAAAGCGTAGCAGAAGGAAGCGTAGTAGGATGAAGAGCAGGCAAGCGAGTGAGAGTGGCTCTAGCGAAGGTAAAGGAAGCCATTGGAGTGGGCTGGGTAAGTCAAAACTATTTCGACATTTCATTAATCGACAGGTGGGTGCATCTAGGTGGTTAGATTGATGAAATACCTTCGGAAGGAGCTTAGCCGTTGGATTGTTATTATTATATTATATATATATATATTTTTTTTTTGAATAGCCGTTGGATTGTTGCTGAACCATGATATGCCTAAAATTGGGCTTGTTGCAATATTGGGCCGACTAGGGATCATTAATATTGGATCTGTCACAGTGAGCAACCACAATAGAGCGAATTGTTTTGTGATCAAGGCCCAAACAGAGGGCAGCGGTTCTTTCTCGCTCAAGATAGGGTGAACCTTAGGTTATGCATCCATCAATGACTAAATCTGGACCCTTCATTTAGAAAATTCAGATCTAAATATGGATAATTAAAAGTCATTTTTATTTTCTCTAGCTTTCATAATAGGCTCATATCTTCTTCATTTTAACTCGGATTTTAATGTTTTTTGCACAGATGGAACGTGTACGTTGTGCTCTACCAAATGAGAAACATTTTCAATATTTGTTGAGAAAAAAAAAATTTGCCTCTCGGTACCAACTACATACCATATGGTATCTTCTTCGTTTTTAATTCGTTTTTGATAACGTTTGCACCCAAGGAAAGAGTTCATCATGATCTATTGGATCTAGGGATGGCAATGGGTCGGGTTTTGCCAAACCCATGGGTTTATCCGTGAAAAAAACCCAGGGTAAAACCCACTGGGTTTGAAAAACTCAAACTCAACCCAACCCGATGGGTATCCTCGGGTTCATGGGTACCCACGGGTTTTTGTCATAAAAAAATTACAATAACAAGTTCCTATCAAAATTAAAGTCAAATATCAATCTCTCAATACAAATTATCCATATTTAAAACACCATTCTAGAAAATTCAAGGAAATCACAAATTAACTATACAAATTGTTAAACACCAATCTAGAAAATTTAAGCAAATCACAAATTACCCATAAATAACATGATTAATTGAAAGCTTCTTCCTTTCAATTAAGTTTCTTCACTCTCCACTAGATAATATCAACTTCATTCTACACAAGAAAGAAAAAATTAGACATGTCTCCACAAACATAAATAAGATTAATTGTTTAGAATATTAAATATACCGAGAAAATTAATTATATGGGTGTGGGCGGGTACCCATGGGTCTGGTTTACCTAAACCCAACCCAGTGAATAGTTAACGGGTTTAAACCCAAACCCGACCCAAAACTCGTCAACACGGATTTTACCCGCATTGACCGGGTTGGGTCGGGTGGGTACCCGTGGGTTCGGGTTTTGTTGCCATCCCTAATTGGATCTACAAATTTCTGGGTGAACAAATTACAGGACCAAAAAATACCACACAATACCATACAATACCACCCTAGTACAGGGTGGTATCTTGTGGTACACAATGTTAAAAGTCGTAAATGATAGTTAATATACTTCTACTATCATGTATTCAATCATCCTAGAATCTTGGTTTATTCATACTACCATGGCACGCTTTTCAAACCATAAGTATGCTCTTATTTCAATACCAGTCAATACCATATGGTATAGACTGGTAAAAAGTGGCTCAATTTTTTTGTTCGAAAAATATATCAAAGTGGATATCATTTTGAAGAACACAATTAATCTGATCTGACTATGCAAAAAAAATTAAATTACAACTTAAAACGAGTGAGAAATCGTACGTCAAAGATCTAGTGGAAAATTAAAGGCTTTCCAGGAGAGATAGATGCTGATGTGGGCGGGTTACTCATGGTAATTACTCACTATAAGGTTACTGACCTGATCTGTTCCCGTTTGTTCTTATGCATAACCTTATTGTGAGTAACTATTTATAACTCAATCACCATCCGCCACATCAGCTCTCATTCTCTTTTCTAATTTTTTTAATTTTCTCTTCTTAATCTTTAACGGACGATTTCTCACTCGTTTTAAGTCGGAATTTAAATCTTTTTACACAGTTAGATCAAATTAATTGTACTCTTCAAAATGATATCCTCTTTGATATATTTTTGGAGCAAAAAAAAAAATGAGTCATTTTCTACTAGTATATATCATATGGTATGAAAAAGCTTACAATTGTGGAATGAAAATACTAAGACTGTAAGATTATTGAATACATGATAGTATGTATATACTAACTGTCATTTACGACTTTCAACAGTGTGTACCACAAGATAACACCCACATACCAAGGTGGTGTTGGGTGTTATTTTTTAGTCATGTATTTTGTTCACCCAGAAATTTGTAGATCCAATAGATCATAATGAACTCGTTCTTTTTGTGCAAAAATTTTAAAAAACGACTGAAAATTGAAGAAGATACCATATGGTATGCAGTTGGTAATTAGAGGCAATAAAAAAAATTCTCCAAAAATATTGAAAATAGATCTCATTTTGTAGAGCACCATGAACTCATTCCATCTGTGCGAATAAAAAAATCGAGTTAGAACGAAGAACATATGAACCGATTAAGAAAGCAAGAAAAAATAAAAATGTCTTTATTTCTCCACCCTTAGGTCTGGATATTCTGGGCCCACTTAAATCTGATGGCTGAGATTTGGTTACTCATTGGTCAGTAACCCCTGGTTACGGACCGTATCTGGAGCCAAGTTACTTGGACGAGGGCTTAGAGTGGAAACCCGAACAGATTCCAGAAGTGGCTCAATTTCTCCCCATTTCGAGTCTGACCATCAAGATGAATGCTATAGGAGTAATTTGTAGGGGTGTACAAATTATTATTCCAAATTAATTAAGACTAAATTTGATTAATCATGGAATACAATATCTTAATCAAATTGATTGAATTATCACAGAACCAAATTAACAAAACTAAAGTTTAACCGATTTGATTAAACTGTCAAGAGAATATGAAGTTAAAGCGACTCTGAAGTTGCAATTTCCTTTGATTTTACAAAACAAAAGAAAATGTACATTGCGATAATGTCTAATTAAGGAGATCATTAAGCAATAACTAGAATATCTTCTGACTCTGCTCTTCCCCATAACCTAACAATCTTTCTCATCCTATTCTTTTTCCTCTTTGTCTTCTTCTTGTTGGTATATGATATCAGATTCATTATTGATCTCTTTTAATAACTCGAGTTATTGGGACTAACTAGTTATTAACATGGTATCAGATTCTTCCATGATCGAGATGTCTTTTGTTCGAATCCCAGTGACCCTATTGATGTGCACATGGTCTCGGATCTGCAAACTTCAAGTCCATATAAGTGACTTTCGTTTGAGAAGTGTGTTAATATGTGATATAACATCCACTATTTCACCAACTCGAAATAAAATGGTTCTTTCACCCTAAAACTGTTATAAATAGAGGAGAAAAGTGTGATATAATACTCCTAATGCTAGTTATAACATCCCTATCACTAGGAAATCACATTCACGTTACTTCCCTAACCGATGACCCCCAAAAGGAACAAAAGAAAAGGAAGTGACACAGGAAAGTCGCGATCCATCAAATAATAATGGACCAGACAAACGATAATGGAAGGTGAAGGGCGGTGGAGGTGTTTTATGGCATCTATCTATCTATCTATCAACCAACGAAAAGAAGTGCATATATGCTTTGAATTAAGAGGGCTCTATGGCCTTATTGCCAACCAGTAAGGGGCCATAACTTCGTGCCCCTTCTTTCCTTTTGTCCCCTCTTCTTTCTTTTCTTCTTTCTGGGCGGTCATCATCCTATCCTAGAACTAAATGGTTACTGAAAGTATCCTTAATGAGGGACACTGGTGCCCCTCTCTCTCCCTAAATATCAAAAACCCCATGATCGAAGTGCAACCATTTGCCATTATGGGCTTTGGTTTCTTTTCTTCCAATCGTCGTGGGTGTTATGGATACTTTGGCAAGTTCTTGCAAAGTTGCACCATGCCATATGATTATTATCTCCTATCCAACTTCCACTTCTTCTGTTGCTGAATAATATGCTAGCTGGATAAAAAGGTATGTAAGAATATTGAAGATGTTTGTAAGAAAATGTATGCATATATACTAAATGGTATGGGTTATGGGAGATATGAGTCGCTTATCCTGATCTAAGAGGATGCTCGCACTTAGAGTTATATGCAGAGGCAGTGGCGTAGTCAGAATTCAAATTTATTGGGATCCTTCAAAAATCAATAACTATAAAGTCTATGTATCGAATGAACTTTGCATAATTGTACCAAAATCTATTTATTTAATTAAAATTTCCCCCAAAATATTTACCAAGTGGGGTCCTTGGATCCCTCTCCTCTTGCTTTCCTTCAGTCACTGTGCAGAGGTGAAAAATATATTGGATTCATGGATATGAATAAAATGGATTTCTGGATTCATGGATTGATGAACTGAATTTATGAATTCAAGTGATATTTAAACATTAGACCAACATGTAAATTTTGAAAAGTTTAGTTATTAAAATAGAATAATAAAAATATTTAGGTACTAAAATGTAATTTATGATAACATTTATATTTAAAAAATAGAATTTTGGTGTCAAAATGTAAACTATACAATATATGTATTAAATTGTACGTTTCCAACTTACATAAATCCACCAATCTCATTGAATTTTGATTAAATATATTAGATTAATTGAATATTTTATTGGATGAATTAGATTCGATTCATGAATGGGATACAAAACCGCCACCTCCAATTTTATGTAGTCCTAGGAGGATTACACTCCTACCGTATTTTTAATATTTAATGTGCATGTACATATGTTATGAGCCTTTAGGGGC